GCCTCTCAAAGTGCTGGGATTACAGGCATGAGCCACTATGCCCAGCCAAAAAACCCTCTTTTATTATGAAAATTTTAAGACAGGTACAGAGTAGAGAGACTAGTTTAATGTGTTTTCCACCTACTTTTCACAATTATCCAATTGAAGCCAGTGTTGCTCCATCTATACCCCCATAGCGACATGCTCCTCCTTTATTTCAAAGCAAATCTTAGATCATATACTTTTTGGGTAAATATTTCAGTATGTATCTCGAAACAACAATTTACCTTTTTTGTTTCTTTTTGTTTTGCTCAAGTTTATTATTGAGGTATAATTTACATACGGTAAGTAACCCTTTTTAGGTTAATTTTGAGGTTTTATAAACTAATTCAGTCATAGAACCATCACAATCAGGATGTAGAACAGTTCTGTCACTTCTCCAAATTCTCCTATAACCCTTTGCAGTGAATTCCACCCCCCCACCAACCCCCATGCAACCACACATCTGTTTTCTATTCCTATAGTTTTATATTTTTCGGAATGTCATAAACACAGAACATCCTACTGTATGTAGCCCTTTGAAATATCACTTTTAAAAACATAACCATCATACTATGATCACATCCCCTCATTCAATAATTCTCTAATATCATCAGATACCCAGTACTCACATTTCCACACTGTCCTAAGAAGAATTTCTTTACAAACCGGGTTAGGATCTGCAAAAGGCCTGCACATTGCGATTGGTGTTTTGTCTCTCAGGTCTCTTTTAATCTATAGGTTTCCTCTCCATCTTTTGTTTAACAAATTAGGCTGTGATAGTTTCTCATAATCTGGATTTTATCAACCGTATCTGCATGATTGTCATTTCTTCTGTTCCCGGTAGTCTTTCTAAAAATATGGTCCATGGACCAGCAGCATCTGCATCACCTGGGAGTTTGCTAGAAATGCAGAATCTCGACCCCACTCAAGACTGTTGAATCAGACTCTGCATTATTAACATTCAACAAGATCCCTGGCCAGGTGCAGTGGCTCACACCTGTAATCCCAAAACTTTGGGAGGCCAAGGTGGGTTCATTTGAGGTCAAGAGTTCGAGACCAGCCTGGCCAACATGGTGAAATCCCATCGCTACTAAAAATAGAAAAATTCGGCCGGCCACGGTGGCTCACGCCTGTAATCCCAGCACTTTGGGAGGCCGAGATGGGTGGATCACGAGGTCAAGAGATTGAGACCATCTGGTCAACATGGTGAAACCCCGTCTCCACTAAAAATACAAAAATTAGCTGGGCATGGTGGCGTGTGCCTGTAGTCCCAGCTACTCGGGAGGCTGAGGCAGGAGAATTGCTTGAACCCAGGAGACAGAGGTTGCAGTGAGCCGCGATTGTGCCACTGCACTCCAGCCTGGGTAACGAGCGAAACTTCGTCTCAAAAAAAAGAAAAAAATACAAAAATTCCCCAGGTGTGGCACATGCCTGTAATCCCAGCTACTCAGCAGGCTGAGGCAGGAGAATCCCTTGAACCTAGGGGTGGAGGGACGGAGGTTGCAGTGAGACGAGATTGTGCCATTGCACTCCAGCTTGGGTGACAGAACAAGACTCAGTCTCAAAAAAAAAAAAAAAAAAAAAAAAAAAAAAAAAAGATCTCCACCTGATTCTGTCCCTGTAAACCCTGTAAAATGGCACTGAGACCTAGCGTGTTGATCTGGTTTAGGTTGGTTTGTGTGTTTTTTTTTCAAACCTGTTGTCGGCATTGCACCCCTCCTGTCTCAGCCCTGCCCACCTGCTCCTCTCTATCTAGGTCTCTCTGACTGCTCCTCTTCAGCTAGGACGTGTATCACCTCATAACTCAGGATTCTATAAATGTAAGTGTTTCCAAGGAGACACATTCCATACATTCCCCCACAGTCCTTTATTCTATTTGTCTACTACGGCTTTCAGATATTTCATCTATCCTCCTGATTCACAAAATCTCTCTAATCCTGACCTGTCTGTGGTCTCCTAACTTGCCTTTTCAGTTGCCAAGGGAATATCTCTCTCCAGGTATTCTTTGCTGCTAATACTAATTCTCACTAGCCTGCACCTTCAACTCAGCAAGTGAAAACCTAAATCACTACGTTCCCTTTTGTATTAGTAACATTTTCTGATCACTCAGCCTACACAATTTGAAGGCTGTCTTCTATTTTTTCTGCTCTTTCATGTCTTGTCTCTAATCCGTAGTTTGGCTTTATTAATTCTCCTGTATTTGTCAACCTTCATTACGTTATGCTGGGGTAAGAGAAAATCCTTCCAAATCTTAGTGGTTTGCAATGCAAAGTTTTTTATTTTTTGTTTATGTTATATGTTGGCTGTGGGTTAACTGAAGCACTGGTCTTTTTCATTCCAGGATCCTCTAGACTGAAGAGCAGCCCCAATTTGGGATACAGCAGAGGGAATAAAAAGGAATGGTAAAACTAGGAATAGTTTTCAAAGCTTAGTCATGGTGTAAAAATCAGTTTCATAGCTGATATGGTTTGGCTGTATCAAATTCAAATCTCATATTGAATTTCCATGTGTTGTGGGAGGGACCCTATGGGAGGTAATTGAATCATCAGAGCAGGTCTTTTCCATGCTGTTCTTGTAATAGTAAGTCTCACGAGATCTGATTGTTATTTCAAGTTAGAGTTTTCCTGCATAAGCTCTATTTTTGCCTGCTGCCATCCATGTAAGACATGACTTTCTGCTCCTTGTCTTCTGCCATCATTGTGAGCCCTTCACAGCCATGTGGAACTGTGGGTTCAATAAACCTCTTTCTTTTGTAAATTGCCCAGTCTCGGGTATGTCTTTAACAGTAGCGTGAAAAGGGATTAATACAATGATCATACAAATGACAAAGCCAACTCCCATATTCATGGACTAAGAAAGTATGTAAAATATCTGGACTCAGTAGTCTGATCTACCACAGCTGCCATTTAGTATTTCAGTTGCATCCCTTGTTCCAATTTCTTTTACCCCTGCCTAAAACTTCACTTCTCTCAGCTTCCTCAGGGAAGCCTTCTCTGATGCCCTCAAACTGGGTCACATCTACTGCTGTTGGCTGTTGTGAACTTGTACTTCTTCATGACACACGTGACACAACTGCAATATTTACACGCTGATTTAATTTCTGACTTCTCCTAGACTGAAAGCTCTGTGAGGGTAGAGGCAGTGTCTGTTTTTCTCTCCTATGTCTGTCATAGAACAGCATGTAAAGGAATGAATGAATGCCTTAGTCATGCCCATATTATCCTTTACCTGGTTTACTGAAAGACCTTACCAGTAGTTTTAGAAATCTAATTTATTTTTCTGCCATCAGAATTTTCCTCCTTAAAGATTTACTCTTGGCCAGGTGTGGTGGCTCACACCTGTAATCTCAGCACTTTGGGAGGTTGAGGCAGATGGATCATTTGAGCTCAGGAGTTCAAGACCAGCCTGGCCAACATGCTGAAACCTCCTCTCTACTAAAAGTACAAAAATTAGCTGGGCGTGGTGGTGTGTGCCTATAATCCCAGCTACTTGGGAGGCTGGGGCAGAGGATTGCTTGAACCCAGGAGGTGGAGGTTGCAGTGAGTTGAGATAGTGACAATGTACTCCAGCCTGTGTCAAAAAAAAAAAAAAAAGACTTTTCAAATCATCTGTTGGTTTTCTAGGTCAGATTCTGCTTCTGAAGTTTCCTGATTGTGTATGCTTTCTCAGACCTCTATTCTTCTGCATGGGCTGTTCCTTCTGTAGGACTTGCTCCCTCCCCCAAGCGCTCTCCCTGGGAAAATCCGATTCATCTATAAACCTCAGTTCTGAGGCTACCTCCTCTGTCAAACCTCCCATGATGCTCAGTGCAGACTTGGGCCCCTGCCCCTCTTCTTCCATGTATGCTTCTCCATTTTAGCAGTTATCATATTTCAGTCTAATGGTTTGTGTGCCTCTTCTAGAATAAGTTCCATGAGGCCACACCAGTATTTTATTGGTCATATATTGTCTAAAGCAAATGTTCAAAAATTGCTTGTTGCATCTTTGCAAGCTATGATTCTCAGAGTAATGCCTTATCTAGCCAGAAGCAGAAGTCAAAACACACTTAAATTCTTTGCCCTTCAGGAATTGGCCATTAGAATTTACTTACTCTTATGGATTTTACACCCAACATTGTGGCTTTCTAGTGCAGATTAGAAAAAGGGGAGAGGTTAACATTGTGGTTTTCTAGTGCTGATTGGAAAAAGGAGAGAGGGAACAGCAGAGTGGTGCAATGGAAGTGTGCTGGGCTCACAACCCAGAAGTTGATGGATGGAAACCATCCTTTGCTACCTTTGTGATCTTGGCTGGGTGTGTCAGCTCACACCTGTAATCCCAGCACTTTGGGAGGCGAAGGTGGGAGGATCGCTTGAGACCAGTCTGGGCAACATAGCAAGACCCTGTCTCTATAAAAAGGAAACAATCCCAAGAGAGGCACTTCTAAATAGAGGCCTACTGACAACAGCAGAAGTTACCACCAATGGCCTGTCAGTAAAGGAGTGGCGCCTGTCCGAGCTAATATAAGCGCCTTCTGCAGTGGCTGCAACAGTGTTTCCCCAGTGAGGACCTGCTTCCTACAGCTCTCATCTACAAGTCTGAGCCTGAAAACTGCCTCAGATTTTAGCAAAACAAGCAGTCTTGCTGGCTTCTCCTGTCTTCCTCTGAGCTGAAGGGGTCCAGGGCAGACTCAGAGCCCCTGGTTTTCTTAGCATGAGCCTGAGCATGAGTCAGAATTACCTGAGGGCTTGTGAAGCAAAAGGTTGCTGGGCTCCATTCTGATTCAATAGTTCTAGGGTGGGGACTGGACATCTCCCATTAGTTAGTAAAAGATTCCCAGGGGATGCTGCTGCTTCTAGGCTGGCCTTAAGAACCACTGGCCTAAACAGTGAGCCAAAAGCAGGACCACAGTGAAAAACTCCAGCCAAACAGGAAAGAAAACTTCATCTTTGATCCGGTACTTCTTGCTTCATTTACACAGGTACCTGTGTTTTTTTCCCCAGGGAAGATTTTGTGACTTGATAATTTCCACTTGTGGAACCAGTTGAACTGGCTATTTACTATCAGGTATTTACTTATACCAAGTAAATATTGTTATATACTATGTAAAAATAGAAGGTGCTGGCATTCTGAATTTTTTGCAAGGGCTGTTCCTCCAAACCTGCTGCTTCGTGGATCTGTATCACTGAGTCATACGTAGGCCAAAAGCATTGTAAGCCAAATCGTTGGAATTCAGTAGTTCTGTTGCCTGCTGTCACTATATCCTTTCCCCGACAAACTCAGTTTACAGTAGACATCAGAATTTTATATTCGACCACTAGCAGTAGTTGCTAATGCATCATGCAATTAATATAAATCATTTTAAAATTTATAACCTCCTGATAGGCCCTCATGTTCAATTACTAAATGTATTTATTTTTAAAATGTTGGCTGGATACAGCAGCTCACTCCTATAATCCTAGCACTTTGGGAGGCTCAAGGGATCACTTGAACCTGAGAGTTTGAGACCAGCCTGGGCAACACGATGAAACCTGCTTTCTACAAAACATACAAAATTTAGCTGGGCATTGTGGTGCACCCTTGTGGTCCAGCTACTCATGAGGCTGAGGTAGGAGGATCGCTTGAGTCTCGGAGGTCAAGGCTGCAGTGAGCTGTAATTGCACTGCTACACTCCAACCCCAGTAACAGAGTGATACCCTGTCTCAAAAAAACAAAAACAAAACAAAAAACCAGTTAACAATGTTAACAATGGGGAGAGCTATGAAAACAACATTTTAGAGACAGTGTGACTCAAGAACTATCTCTGTGCAGTTGCAGCTAGAAGGAACCAAGGTGGCTGACTTTGATTTTGAACTAGAATTGTCACTGACAATAGGAGTTACTGTGGAGGATGAAAAACTCCCATCATTCCCTTAGCAAGACTTGAAAAGAAGGATGAATTATGTTCAGCAAATTTAATATTTCACAGTGCTAAAACTCATGTTATTTTGCATTGTTAAATCTCTGAAATCCTGATGCATTTACCATGGATGGCATTTTAGGATTATGGTTGGCGAGGTCATGGTTGTAATGTGGTGTCACTGCCTGCACATGTACAAACTTGGTGGTTATTCCTGGTGGGATGACTTGGCCACTCTAATCTCCATGTTTCTCTCAACAGATTATATAAGGACCATCTGGAAAAGACACATGCTGCCTGTTGTCTGGAAACCTTCCACTGACACTTTCAGGTAAGATCAGGAAAGTCCCATCATTAAAATTTGTAAGACAGGTGTCAGTAGTTTGCAAGAAAACAGTAGCGGGGAATGCTGCATTATTAGTACGTAGTAATTAAGGACACAGAGGACATTTCTATATGAACGACACAGATACCAACGACTATAAGCTGAAAAATGACTCAGAAGAAGAATAGAGATTCTGAATGTAAAGAAATTACAGATTTTTTTTTTTTTTTTTGAGACAGAGCCTCACTCTTGCCACCCAGGCTGGAGTGTAATGATGAGATCTCGGCTCACTGCAACCTCTGCTTCCCAGATTCAAGCAATTCTCCTTCCTCAGCCTTCTGAGTAGCTGGAATTACAGGTGTGTGCCACCACCTCTCACTAATTTTTGTATTTTTAATAGAGACAGGGTTTCACCATGTTGGTCATGCTGGTCTGAAACTCCTGACCTCATGATCTGCTCACCTCGGCCTCCCAAGGTGCTGAGTTAACAGGTGTAAGCCACCATGCCTAGCCTTTTAAAAATTACAGGAATTCTTTAATGAATTTATTTTTGCTTATACTTTCCTTCTTATGTATGCACAAGAGATGTATGATAACAATGTAGGTCTAAGTCTGTGCTCGCTCACCAAAAGTAATAAAAAAAATTACAAATAGTTTAATTGGGAATTTTTTTTTCTCTTTTTTTTTTTTTTTTTTTGAGATGGAGTCTCGCTGTGTTGCCCAAGCTAGAGTGCAATGGTGCGATCTCAGCTCACTGCAACCTTTGCACCCTGGGTTCAAGCAATTCTGCCTCAGCCTCCCGCCATAGCTGGGACAAGTTGGCCAGTCTGGTCTCAAACTCCAGACCTCAGGTGATCTGCCTGCCTTGGCCTCCCAAAGTGCTGGGATTACAGGCGTGAGCCACTTCACTGAGCCAGGAATACTTTTTAACAGCAGCTTTTAATCTTTTTAGTCTGAGGACCCCTTCACACACTTAAAAAATATTGAGAACACTGGAGAACTTGTGGTTAATGTGGTAATATCAATAGTTACCATATTAGAAATTTAAACAGACTTTTTTTTTTTTTTTTTGAGACGGAGTTTCGCTCTTGTTACCCAGGCTGGAGTGCAATGGCGCGATCTCGGCTCACCGCAACCTCCGCCTCCTGGGCTCAGGCAATTCTCCTGCCTCAGCCTCCTGAGTAGCTGGGATTACAGGCACGCACCACCATGCCCAGCTAGTTTTTTGTATTTTTAGTAGAGACGGGGTTTCACCATGTTGACCAGGATGGTCTCCATCTCTCGACCTCGTGATCCACCCGCCTCGGCCTCCCAAAGTGCTGGGATTACAGGCTTGAGCCACCGCGCCCGGCCCTAAACAGACTTTTAATACTGAAGAATCACAAGCACATGTTCCATTAGCTGTCAGAGAGATAATGACATCACACATCATGTATCCTCTGGGAAACTCTAGTATACACAGGTAAGAGAATGGGAATGAAAAGAAAAAGGGGAACCACAGTTTGAGAATCACTGGCATAGAAAATAATGGTTTTGAAAAATATTATATTTTGATGAATATGGATGTATTTCCAAGTAAAATGTTTTTGGAAAAAGTAAAATATTGACTATGTGGAAAATTCTATTGTTGAACAGCTGGGTAGCATTTTGAGACCCAGAAATTAACGGATGCATTTTTCTTCTGTGGCTGTGGGAAACATCTACCCCCAACAGCCCTTCTTAGGTGGTGAGCTCACACTGGGTATTCTGCAGGTCTGGTTAATTCGACCCTTGGAGAAGGTAAGAATGTATCTTCCTCCTGGGTTATGGAACGCAGTGGAATTGCCTGTCAAGCAGGAAGAAAGGATAGAAGTTGGGACAAAGATGAAAGGAGGGGTGTGGTTTGGCCCCTCGGGGACAAACCTGGATTTTCTGGAGACTAGGAGAGGAGACAGGGCTTGCAGTTTCTGTCAGTGATGGAGATCTCTGGGGATTTGCACATGGCTCTGTGGGTACCGGTGGGCAGACAAACACTTGGTGGACAGGACAACTGAAGCACAATACAGGGTCCTGCTGGGCAGTCAGGCCCAGAGAGAGGGCAGACCCCGGGGAGCTGCTGGCCTTTAGGGTACCCTGTGGGTCCGAGCAAGACGTCCTAATGACAGTCACCTGCCCACGGCCTCTTCTGCTGCTGTCCTGACCTGGATTCCTACAGTCTTCCAAGGAAGGCGAACGGGAGCCACCACATACACACACAGGGTGGCTTTCTTCCAGGGATCCTGGGAACCAGATTGGCTTTCATTTAGAAACCGTACAACAGTTACAGAAGCAAAGGAAAGTAGTTATAACTGGATCCGATAACATCTTGCCTGAATTGAATTTCCAGGTCTGTCGCCGAATGGAAGGACGTTGCTAATAAAAGTACCTCACAGGATCTCTGCTGGGCACACTGAGTGATAGATACATGGAAGCTCTTCAGACAGCACTTGGCATATGTATGTTATCACCTCTTGAACCTCGATGTCTTGGAGATGTCATAGCTGTCACACAACATCCTCTGCGGTTTGGGATGGCTGACGTTGGACCCTTTGCCGAAGTCCCCATATCCTAGGCTAGATTAAACCCTAAAGGTGGAGCCAAGGGGAGGGAGGGCAGGAACGTGCTCTAAATAGAAGTGCTCCCCCGGGAAAGGGGCGGCTCAGCCTGCTCCGGCAGCCGGGAAGATCTTCTGCCACAGCGACGGCAGCAAGTGGCCTCCAGCTTCTGAGGGGTGTGAGCACTGGCGTCCAATGTCCGGCGCAGCAAAATCGCTGCAGACTCTACCTGAATCCAGACAGGTCCGGGTCCTCGGGTTTATTTTTGTTTTGTATTTTTTTGCCAGGGAGAGCTCTGGCGCTCCTTCAATCCGAGGGCGCCTGCGAGCCAGAGCCAGGAGATGGGCGTGGGCAGAGGTGGTTAGCACCGTCGAGCTCGCGGCCACCTGCAGGGTGCTGAGAAGTCTGGAAGCGTCCGGAGCCGGTCCCCGCCTCCGGGCGCCCCACCTCGGACCCCTCCTTCCGCGCGGGTCCCGCCCCATAGCGGGCGTGGCCGCACGGGGGAGGGCGGGGCCTGGGCGGGTCTGCGAGCGAGGCACGTCCCGCAGGCGAGGCGGGGCGGAGCGCGGGAGGCCGGCTGCGAGGCGCACATCCGGCGGCCGCCGGGTACTTCACAAAGCCGCTGTGGCCGCGGGTTTCCTCCGCAGCAGCTCTGGGCTCTTCTTGGCTGCGGGAGCAGCTGCTCCAATGCCCCAGAGTGGCCATGGGCGCCCCGCACTGGTGGGACCAGCTGCAGGCTGGCAGCTCGGAGGTGGACTGGTGCGAGGACAACTACACCATCGTGCCTGCCATCGCTGAGTTCTACAACACGGTGCGGGGCGCGGGAGCGGGGAGGGCAGGCGGGCCGGCGGGAGGGGGCTGTCCCCACGCCGCAGCGTCTGGAAGCTGGACGTGGGTCTCTGCGCGTATCTGGGCCATTCTCTCCAGGGGCTGAGTCAGTCCACACCCCCTCCTCGGCGCGCTCCTTCCAGTTCTGCATCTGTCCTCCTCTCCTGTCCCCATTCCCGAAGGCTGGGCTTATCTTCCTCCTCCTGTCATTTTTTTGGTGATGGTCTTATTGTCTTCTTGTTCGGCCCTCACCAGTCCAGGAACCAGGGGTCTGTGTCAGCCCATTCTCCTCGTTTGGGTCAGTTAGGGGCGGTGAACCTGCCAGAACCACTCTCTTCCTCCCCTGGGATCTCTGTGGCGTGACGCACTTGGGTCGCATTGTGCATTTTTGCCCTGAATACCTACCTACTCTCGGAGTGCTGGGAAGAGCACGCCCCCGGCTGGTCCCTGCGGCGGGCCCACTCCCACCAGGCTGACTTGCTCCACCCCCAAGAACATGCCTATGGTGGACGAGTTATTTTTGGTCAGAATCAAGTTAATTACGACTTGTTCTTTTTTTTTTTTTCTTGCCTTTAGTGTCCATTCTTGCGTGAGCCCCTAATTCAGCTCCGCCCAGGACTGTGCTTTCTCCAGTTCTGAAGTCTGACGGGTGAAAGGAAAGTTTGGGAGTGATAACATGGGGGTTTTGGACTTATATAGGTCCCTAGCTAAAGGCGAGCAGAAACTTCCCCATTGCAGAATCTTGTGTGTTTTTAGTTCTTGTGGTAACCGGGAAGGGTTGCAGCTGGGAAAGGAAATGCCTCTTCTTTTCTCTATGTCCATGGCTTGGAGTCCTGGTACCGACTGTGAGACTTTGCGTGATCATTTCTGTGGCTTATCTTTTCACTGCCCAAACTAGGAAAACGGGAACTCTTGGTTTGGGTCATTGTGAATTCCAGGTTGTTGTTTAGGGCTTTTCCTTTTAGAATTGCTAGAATGTCTTCGGCAGGAGTCAGGTAGCTTACTTCCTGCAAGGATCTCAGATGATCTATCTAGTCCCTGTCCTTTATACATGTGATGAGAAAACTGGGCTCTTGAAGAGGGAGCTGTCATGCTCACATTTCCAGCATGGCTGGGGTCTCAATCCAGAAGTCTGGCTTCTCCCTCTCCTCAGTGCTGAAATCCATGGCTGGTTTCCACACAAACGCTCCAGCTTATTTTTTTATGATTAGGTTAGTTCCTTAAGAAAACCTGAGGTTGGGCATTGTGGTTCACACCTTTATTCCTAGAGCTTTGGGAGGTCAAGGCGGATGAATCGCTTGAATCTAGGAGTTCTGGCAACATGGCGAAAGCTCATCTCTGCAAAAAAATACAAAAATTATCTGGATGTGTAATGCACACCTGTCATCCCAGCTACTTGGGAAGATAAGGTGGGAAGATCACCTGAGCCCGGGCGTTGGAGGCTGCAGTGAACTGAGATCGTGCCACTTCACTCCAGCCTGGGAAACAGGGTCTCAAAGAAAACCTGGCTATCTGCTGTCCACAGATACTGTGAAAGACAGTGGAAGTGGCCATGACTTATCTATTGCATAACCTCTCAGAGCATGCTATCAGGGGTAAATAGTTGCACAAAGAGGATGGGCTGGAGTAGTGCTGGGTACTTTCAATAAGGAGAAACACCAGTGGTAACACAAGTTGTCCATTTGTAAATGATAGTGAGAGAATAAAGATTTCACCAGAGTTCAAGAAGAAATGACAGCTTGGTGACAGGTTCTCACATACATAGCATGGTTATTATCTGTGGAGTCTGGGGTCTGCAGAGAGGGTCTGGCTTGGTTATTTTGGTCAAAAAAGCTACTGTATGGTTTCTCTGAGTCTGCCTTGAAAAGCCCCATAGTCCTGGATAAAAGGGAGAGTTTGTCTTTACTTTTAATCCAGTCCCATTGGAGCTGTTATTCTATGTAGTGAGTGCTAAAGTCTTTTTCAGAAATGAACTGTTGATCTTCAACTGCAGTGTCTAGCCGAGTAGCCCAGCTGGCCCATCTGACTAACTTTGTTCCTTGGAATACTCTTAAACCACAAAATTTTCTCTGGCAAAGCAGAGCACATAAGGTCTCAGAGTATAAGTTCACTGCCTAACTTTGTTGAGTGTAGGTGTCCAAATAATTTAGCAAAAAAAGTTTCTTCCCCTCTGTTCTTATTTTTTAAATTATTATTATTATTTTTGAGACAGTCTTGGTCTGTCCTAGGCTTGAGTGCTGTGGTGCTATCTTGGCTCACTGCTACCTCCACCTCCCGGGTTCAAGTGATTCTCCCAGCTCAGCCTCCCAAAGTGCTGGGATTACAGGCGTGAAGCACCATGCCTGGCCTTCTCCTCTGTTCTTACGTACTATTTATATTCTGATGCTTATCACAGGACATTCCTTGCTTATCTTACTCCTGTGTTTAAAAGACTGTGAACTATTACATGGTGATAAATATCCTCTTAAATCCTCATAATAAGGCAACAGGTCTAACTACTCAGTTTATAGAAAACTAATAATCATTACCTGTTTTGAGAAAAAGTTGGAGGAATTGACAATGTTAAATCAGGAGAAGACTGGGAGAGGGATCTAGAACCTTCTTAATGGGTCTTGGGGTAGCAGCACATCACTATTACAACTTCAGATGCTACTGGCTACCATTACTTATTTGCTATGTGTTGAAGCTGTGCTGGGTACTCTATACTCACCCTAGATAGTGGATGCTATTTATTATATCCATTTGATAAAGGTAGAAATTGGGGCCTAGAGAGTTTATGTTACTCGCTGTGGTCAAGAGCATAGCACAGCTGAAGTCAGAACTTGGTCCATTTGACTCTACCAAGAGAGTTGTCTTGAAGATATAAATGCTACTGTAACTAACTTAGATTTATCTATTTGGCATAGAATAGATTTTATTATTTAGTCTTTCCTTAACTTAAAACTCCTGTGTTGGGACCATTTTATCTTTAAGATAAAACTCATAATGTTTGATATGAAAAAAGTTTACTTAAAGTAATTTTTTAAAATGCTGTTTATATTGGCTGGGGGTGGTGGCTCACACCTGTAATCCCAGCACTTTAGGAGGCCATGGCCGGCACATCAAGAGGTCAGGAGATTGAGATTATCCTGGCCAACATGGTGAAACCATGTCTCTACTAAAAAGACAAAAATTAGCTGGGCATGGTGGCACGCGCCTGTAGTCCCAGCTACTCGGGAGACTGAGGCAGGAGAATCGCTTGAACCCAGGAGGTGGAGATTGCAGTGAGCCCAGATTGCACCACTGCATTCTAGCCTGGCAACAGAGCAGGACTCTGTCTCAAAATAAATAAATAAATAAATAAATAAATAAAGGCTGTTTATTGTGAAAGTAATATAATCATGGCAAAAAATTTAGAGTATCTAAGTTATAGAGTGAAAAATACCCTTCTGCATCTTTCTAGATATTTTCTAGGCATGTAAAAAGCGCATATATCTGTGTCTGCATATAAAATATGCATGTATAAGGCTAGGCATGGTGGCTCATGCCTGTAATCCCAGCACTTTGGGAGGCTGAGGTGGGCCAGGAGGATAGGGTGGTGGTTTTTGCAAGAAGGCTTCTGAATAGGGTGGCCAAACTCATCCTCGGTTTTTGCCTGAGACTTTTCTGATTTTTTTTTTTTTTTTTTTTTTTTTTTTGACACGGAGTTTCGCCTTTGTTACCCAGGCTGGAGTGCAATGGCGCGATCTCGGCTCACCGCAACCTCCGCCTCCTGGGCTCAGGCAATTCTCCTGCCTCAGCCTCCTGAGTAGCTGGGATTACAGGCACGTGCCACCGTGCCCAGCTAATTTTTTGCGCTTTTAGTAGAGACGGGGTTTCACCATGTTGACCAGGATGGTCTCGATCTCTCGACCTCGTGATCCACCCGCCTCGGCCTCCCAAAGTGCTGGATTACAGGCTTGAGCCACCGCGCCCGGCGACTTTTCTGATTTTAATACTGAAAGTCCCATGCCCTGGAAGCCTTCTCAGTCCCAGGCAAAGCAGGACAGTTGGTCATCCCAGGGGCAGAAGTTAAACGATGGAATGGGTAGTTA